TATTCAAATAGGCATTATTAGTGGATAATCTGTCAAGTGTCACCACCTCTATAAAAGCACAGGTTTGGCAGTTTGCTGGTCTGGAGTGTGTTAACAAAATGTCACAATCTGCCCAGCAGTGGACATCCCAGCAAATTGAGGCCTCAGTTAGCATGTTAAATGTTTAAAATAAAAACGGAAAAATTATAGCTGGGTTTCCAGGAGAAAGCCTTGTCTCTCTTAAAAGAATATGGCGGTATGGCTTTGCAAAGTTACATTTGAACAATATCCTTTGGACAGATGAGACCAAAGTGGAGCTGTTTGGATATAATGTATAGCACCACAGTGTGAGAAAACCAAACACAGCATATCAACACAAAAACCTTATACTAATCTTTCAAGCACGGTGGTGAAGTGGTGATGATTTGGGTTGTTTGGCAGCCACAGAACTCCTCTGTATACCAAAGTATTAAAATTAAATTTGAGGCCATCGGTCTGACAGCTCAAGCTCGAGCCAAACTTGGAGGTGCAATAGGACAATGATCCCAAGTACAGGAGCAAATCTGTAACAGAATTGCTGAAAAAGAAAACCTTAACCTGATCAAAACACCATGGTGGGAACTTTAGAGAGCTATGCATAAACAAATGCCCACAAATGTCATTACATCACGTGCTGCAAAAGATGGTTCTACAAGCTACTGAGTCATAGGGTGTACTTAGTTTTTATAGGAGTGCATAGAGTCCTATGAAGAATTTGTCTTTCACATGATTTTACATGATGGAAATAACTGCTCATGACCTTTTAAATAAATTAAGCATAAACATAAACTGGGACAGGCTTCCTGTTGCCAGGATGACTAATAAAGGTGCTTAACTTCAGCTATGTCTGTAGAATTTCTTCTTAAATGCATGCGTGGAAGAGAAATATTTTTATGAAGCTGCACTGATCATCAGTGCAATTTTGCCATTTTTACCAACTTGAACTTGAACTAGAAATCTGAAATAAAGGGAATTAAAACCTTTCTTTTACCCTTCCTAAGTGTTAAGTGTGTGATTTAAAAAAACACACGTAACACTGCTTTGATATTTTCACATGATGGTGTTTCATTGAGGAGTATGGGTACTTGATCCACCTCTGACAGTCTGTTCTTCTCTGACTTTCTGTAAACCCTCAGTTGCAAATACTTGAAAAGAGTCGGTCTCCAGTTATGTTTCTGTTATGTAGCAATCGCTACTCCAAAATGATTGAGAAGAGCTACGTCTCGAGGCTCTTGGCTGTCGCAGTGTTTGTTTGGGTGGTCTCATTAATGCAAGTCTTGGAAATCTTCCCAGTGAATAAGTCATGGGAAGTTTCCCCCGGCTCTTTGGCCTCACATACTTCATTACCGCTGTCTTTTTAAAATCTTGAGTCTTGCAGAGAACAGTTCATCATCTCATGATGTTACGGTGAGATCACGATGCATACTTCCCTGTTCTTGTTTCACTTGTGTGCTAGAGGAAACCTCATTTTTGGCACCTTATATGACAAGATTTTATTCATGTCAGAGTTGACAGTTTCCGTTTTTCAGTCCGGCCAGCCGAGCACGGATGCTTCTTAATCTCCTACCCTTTAAACATCTGTAACACAATACTAAATAGTGAGTATAAGCATCACACAGGGGCAAACTTGAAGCTTAAGAAAGACATTTATGTAATATCCTCTTTCTCCTTGTATATTGCATGTTGGTTATCTGTTGAAATCTAGGAAAGTAGATATGAAGTCAATGGAAACTGTTTTCTGTATTGTTTTACACTGATGCTGAATTGCGCAGTGTACAAACTTGGATTTTCTTTCTTTTAAGAAAGCAGTATTGTTTTGCTATATCTTCGATAAAAGGATATAAATGTCAACAGGCACAATGTGTGGTAACTAAATATGTTTATCGGAGGAGGGCAAAGTTATTCTCATGGGCTCGGTCTTCCTTCCTCCTGTGTTGCAAAGCCTGATACTGGACAAGTGCGTCACTCAGCGCACTTCTTCTATATTTAGAGGTACAGTCTGTGCTTCCCCTGGTGGGTGGAGAGCTTGATCAAAAATAACTGGATTTTGTATACAAATATGTCATGATTTTATACATCACCCCTACACCAGTGGTCCCCAACCTTTTTTGTGCCACGGTCCGGCCTTTAAGGTGTCACGGATAAATACAACAAAATAAAACCTGCACAGCTACCAAAAAAAGAACATTTATTCGTAATACACAGGAAAAGACCCAGGGAAACCGAGTTAATGATAAAAACAATAACAAAATAACGATGAAAACCTGAAAACCACAAATTTCACACCCGAGACTCAACTCTCGCGGCCTGGTACCAAACGATTCATGGACCGGTATCGGTCCGAGGCCCGGAGGTTGGGGACCGCTGCCCTAAACCATTTGTATCTGCTCTGACTGTATTTATGTTTCTATTTCAGGATCTGCTTGAATGTGAACATTAGAAACGAGCTGAAGATGCAGGGGGCCATTGCACGGCTGTGCGTGGTGGTGGCTGCTGCCATATTAAACCATCCCTCGCTCTTTCCGCATGAAAACACCACACTCCCGGATCAGGATGAGGAGCTGATCGCTCGAATGCGGGAGCATGAGGCAAGACTGGAAATGGAGAAGGCCAAGTTGGAGAAAGAGCTTTCACAGATGGACTCAAAGCAGGAAGAGACCAGCTTGCAGGAAGGTTATAGTTGGTACTTCTGGAGCACGGTGTCTTTTATAATATTCTTCACCATCGAGATGTGCAGGGTGGATCTTGCTGATGGAGAAGTCCGGCAAGTTGAGGAGGAAGAGGTTTTTTCAGAGAGTGGATCCATCAACCCCAGGATGATGGTACTGGATAAGGACATCCTGAGTAACTTCTGTGATAAATGCACCTACACTTCAGCACATGAAAACTGGAGGGTGAGGGAGTTTGTTGAGGGTTTTGCAGATGACTTGCTCGAGTCACTCAGGAGCGTGTGCAACAGGGACACAGACATGGAAGTCGGGGACTTTGTTGGCATTGGAAGCATGTTTGAGTCCTGGAAGTTTTGCAAACCACTCACATGTGACCTCATCGTGCCTTTCTCACCTCCAGATCCGCACTCCTTTCAGTACCACCTGTGGTGCAGCTCCTCCAGTGACATACCTCCTGATATACAGGGCTGTGGGAAGATAAAGGTGACCACACCTGGGGAGAATAGTGGGGGCTGTCTCTGTGGCTCTGCTAACCTCGGAGAGGACATGCTTTGTCTGCTGCATGGCAGAAATGACACACCCAAAGTCAGTCTCAGTCCTGATGAACTGCTGTGCTCCAGAGACACAAACTGCTTGGCGAAAGACCAAGTCATGAAGTGGTTTCAGATCTCTGTAACCAAAGCGTGGGGACGCATCTCTCACAAATATGACTTTGATGTTACCTTTCGCAGCCTGGATGCTGCCGGTGCTCTGAAGATCCGATTCCCGTCAGGAAAAATCATCGTAATGAACATCATTCCGGTGGTCCAGCTTGAGGATACAGATGCTTATTTTGTCTCGCACTTTCCATCGGATGTTGACAGCTTCCCAGACCCATACTGGCCCCTATCTGTTGCTGTCTACGAGAGGAATTTGCTGAAACATTTTTCTAAACGCCTACCAAAACATTCCTGTCATTTACACTGCCTCCAGATTGTTACTTTCTTACACAAAAAGCAATCAGGGCTAACTGGAAAAAGTGCCCTTACAAACTATCACTTAAAGACTGCTCTGTTGCACTTGTTGCTGAGTAAAAAGACCATCACGTGGAGCATTGAGAGTATGCAGCACAGGGTCCAGGACTTGCTCAGCTTTGTGCAGAGGAGCCTGCAGGAGAAAAGACTTAACCATGTCATGTTTGGCAACACTAAAGTGCCAGAAGAGGTCCAGGTTCCTGAGATGATTCGCAGAGCAGAGCCCATCAACCTGTTCAGGACACTGGTGCTGCAGAGGGAGCTTTATGCAGCAACAGTCAGGCATTTTCAGGAGATGCTGAGAAATGCACCTGTGCTCATACAGGAGTATACACCGTACTTATCAAACGGAGGTTTACATCACAGCCTGGATGAAAGTTTATAGGCACTCAGCAACGGAACTATTTTAGACACATATATCAGACATATCGTTCAGTGATACTATAAGTAATGTTACTAACAAAAGGTGCACGCGCATCAGCTGATTCAGCTCTTGCTGGTAACTAAATTTGTAGTGGTTTTGCCGTAGCTGCTACTTACAAAACCTTTTTAAATAAAATATGGTCTACTGCTAACACCGATGCTAAAGGAGGAACTGGAAAATTTAGTGGAGAAACCCAGAAATATTATTTACAATCTTATTGTAATAAATGTTTAGATTGAAATAAAAACAAAAAACAGCACAGTCGTGAAGAAACACGTGCCAACACGATTCAGTACCATTAAAAACAGCAGCATCACTGCTCCACCTAGTGGTTGCAGATTGCATCAACCAAAGTAAAGTAGTCACAAATAGAAGATGCACTGCTGTCATTTCAGCTGTGGCTGATATGTAGACTTGTAATGGTTTTATTGCAGCTGCTTTCTTTTAACATTTTCTTGAGAATACAGCTTACTGCTATCAGATGCTGAGGAAAAACCTCAACATCTTAGTGGAGATGCCAGCAATACACACACTGTGACACTGGTGTCCCTCGGCTCCTGGATGCTACATTTAAGCAGGAGATCTTAACATAAATACCTCTCATATTATACGGAGCCACACAGGAATCTTTAAGAAGACAGTGCACTGTCTGCTTTGTATAACTGTGTTTTATGTATCATTGTTACTGTTGCAGATCTGATGGCAGCTATTAAGGATTGTTATTCTTTATGTATCTTTTATTGCTTGTTAGAGCTTATTTTCTGAATTTTGCTTGTTATATTTTTACTGTGTGTGTCTCTAGGTTATTAAATGAGACATAAAAGGGAAACGATGTATTGTTTTTATGTGTCTTAAAGCACAAATAGAAAAGTCAAATTTGCTGTCATTTCATTGACAGTATTTTTATTTTTTATTGAAAAATCAGTTATAGTCACTAATGCAGTAACATTAAATGATGGCTGAAGGTTTTGTTCAGTACTCTAACTAATAACTTCCTACAGGCCGTAGTCAAAGTCTGGGTTTCCATCAAGGAAGGTCTTGAAGAAGGCCTTGTGGGCGTCTGGGCTGAACATGAGGGCTTTGACAGCCGAGTCCTGCAACATGAGTTCTGTCCACTTCTTCAGCTCAGGTGTGCCATCCAAAAACCTAATAAGACAAAGGGTAGAGCCATTTAAATACAAGTAAATTTGAACACTCAATTTTTGTAATAGTTTCAGCAACTGAGTCAAAAGTAAATCCATTAGCTTCGGCACACGGTAATAAATATTCCGCTAAAGTCACTTTGTTACTCTGTTAAAGAGACAAACGAGAGGCATTTTTTCCAGGTGCAGAAGTGGATCAATGAACTCGCCACAAAATCGGACATTTGACTGAGAGTGCACAATATCCTCAACACATTTCCATTTCTTTTTTTAATTTTTGAGTCGGCTCAGGCTTTAAAACTAGTTGCACAGCTGGTGAATGACCTCTTTTTGGTTTCAAAGAGACATGAGCAATACATGAGCAGTGTTGCTAACTATGGACACAGTGCTTGCTGTGGCAATAAAACACAGCAAGCAATGCCCACTTGGCAGAGTTACACCTTTATCTTTGTCTTTTAAAAAAAACCCAAAAAACTAGAGATGGACCGATCCGATATTACGTATCGGTCCGATACTGAACAACAGCAGCACGTTGAAGCTTAAGCTGTTGTTAGAATTTATTTAATATTACTTTCTACACCAGGATCTTTTTCTACGTAGCTGGTAACTGTGCAGGGGCGGATCTAGCAAAGTTTAGCCAGGGGGGCCGATAGGGCATGAACAGGGAAAAGGGGGCACAAAGACATACTTTTCTTTCTTATTCTCATTTAGAATATCTAGCTTTTAATAAATAATTATCCGAATTTTACACCCAAATTTTTAATCTGATGTAAAATGTATAGAAGTCCATTACTGTATATAGTAACTATTAAGTCTAATATACCCTAGTAAGCTATAGTACTTTTTCCTTTGAGAAGGTACCATCTGTGCAGTCTGGTTGAAGAAAGATGTTGAATCTATTTAATTATTCTTGAAAAATAATTGAGTTCTGTGCATTTTCCCCCACATTGCATCAAATTAAAGTTGATTATGTCAATTAAGCATCATGGGGCGGGGGGTGGTTCCCTATTTTTTTTTTGCTGGGAATTTGCAACCCTATTAGTTAGGTTGCTTACTCTTTAAAATACCAGAATAGGGAGGATGGAGTAGGTTTAAGTTTATTAGATTGATCAGTATTGCTGAACTATGAAATATTTTGGGTGCAGTATATTTTTTGCATACAGGTATAACAGAATAGCTTTAGTGTTAGTTTTTTTTGTAACTTGAATATGAACTTATACAAAAAGCAGCAAGATATTAAAAAACATTTTTATTGATTAAAAAAACACACTATATCGGATTCATATCGGTATCGGCAGATATCCAAATTTATGATATCGGTATTGGACATAAAAAAAAGTGGTATCGTGCCATCTCTACAAAAAACAAAAACGGCAACATTTGGAAAAGCTGGAGTAAAAAGATTAAGGTAAAATTGATCTCTGTTGACCACAATAGTGCAACTAGTGGCACAGGAAGAACAGACTCCACTAACTAAAGTGTAAAACATGTCGGTTTTAAAAAAGGATGCTTCCCTCGATTGTTCATTTCTAACTTTTGTAACATTTCTAGTAAATAATATACTTAGGCTCCCCACAGTTGACCTTTTTTTTTTTTTTTTAATGTTTACAATTTTCTATAGGTTAAATATCTGTAAAGATTATTACTTACTGTTTGACCTGATACGCTTCTACCCTCTCAAACCACGGCCACATCATGTAGTCGATCATTGTTATAGAATCGCCACCAAAGAACTTGGTCTTCTTGTTAACGAGGTCCTAGAAATTGAATGTTACATTTATTAGAGTTGTAATTAACTGGAATAACCAGGCACTGACAGGAAAGATAAACTTATTTGTTTTAATAAAAACAACCTTTGATCAATGACTGTGATTCACAGGCACACACTCATTCACACACAGTGTATCACCTCATATGTTGGGTTAATGGATAAAGGAACCAGAGGCCTCAAAGGTGTGGCCTACCTCGTTTAACTTGGCAAACTTTTCTTTCAGTTCAGCTTCCAGTCCGGAGACATCCTCTCCCTTCTTTTTATCCATTGGGATCTTGTAGAAGTACGGTATCACCTGTAGGAAACAGTGACATTAATATTATTATTTGGTGGTGGTTAACAAAAAACAAAACGTTAAGGTTTATATGCAAGTCTTTGTGTGACCTACTTTGGAAAAGTGCTCCAGCATCATCTTTTGTTGAGCCTTAGCAAAGGGAGAGGAGGGAAGCAGCTTCTTTTCAGGGTAAACTTCATCCAGGTATTCACAGGTGATGGGTGACTCGTATATCACCTCACCAGCAGGTGTCTCAAGCGTTGGGACAAGACCAAGAGGATTCTTCTGAAGATACCAATCGGGTTTTTCTTTCAGGTGGACATTTATGGTTTCGTATCTGAAAACAAAAAAGCAGGTTATGTGTGCATGTTTAAGCACAGGTTGAATGACTGTGATGATTTTTCATTTCTACAGTAAACTAGAATAAAGAGTAGCCTTACTTGATTCCTTTGGCTTTGAGCACAAGTCTGGCCCTCTGGGCAAAAGGGCAGAACCTCATGCTGTAAACCCTGATGTAGTCTTTAGGGACTGGGCCAGGGGCAGCGCTACCTGAGAGACACGAAAAAGATTCATCCATTAAAAAAAGTAACAAGGAGAGCAGGTGGCAGTATTTAAATGTATGCATTGTGCTTCACATTGAAAATTAACATTTTACTAAAGTAAAAAAAAAAAGAAGAAAAAATCTATTTTGTACAGTAGTATAATTTTCAGAGTAATTTTATAGCTGACAGTTTGGGTTATGTTGTGCTTCCACATCAGCATTTTGTCTTCGTAGTATTTTTACACAACATCCCAAGCTTTTTGGAAACAGCATTAACTGACCTTTATTTTCAAACTTACAGTGAATTTAGCATTTCTATTTGATTACAGGGCAGCTGACTGTGGATTATGCACATTTATACATTTGTGCTTGTACTTCAACTGGATTTTTTTTTTTTCCTGACGTCTGCTTGTTTTCAGAGACGCCACAGTGAGTCGCTGTTTGTTCAGACAAATTGGTTCAGTCATAAAGAGTTTCGTTTATAAACGTTTATAAATCAATAATCACCTGGACCGTTTGGCGCTGCTTTCAAATCGGCACGAAGAGGTTTCATAGGACTAAAGCATGATTTTTTTAAAAACGAAGCTAAATCCTTACCACAGATCGAATCGGAGGGAGAAAACTATTGCATTTCACATCGATAAGCAGCCTTCAGTTAACAGAGTAATACTTTATTTCTTACCTTTAGCGAGACACTTTTCAGCAGACATGTTGGCGCTTGAAATAACGAATGATTTGAAACAGACTGTAAAGGACGGAGCTAAAGTTTATATTTTACGCTCTAGTTCAGCGGTGGGCGTGCCAAACTGAGTCGACACGCCCACCGTTGTCTCAGAAGGCTGGTAAAGACGTGTTTCTTTTCTTCTCTTCAAAGGAGCCGCCGTGGAAGTTTAAACTATGTTGCTCATACAGACAGTCATATGACAAATAAAGTTCCCACAACACGGACTTTGTGCACTTTAGTGAAAATGAAGCACACCCCATGATTCAGCAGCTTGCAGAACCAACTTTGGCAGCAGTAATGTAAAGCTATGGTTTTCTGATGACTTGATTAGTGTCTCACATGTAGAGGAATTTTCTCCCACTCGTCTCTCCAGCTTTGTTTCCGTTAACTGGGGCATTTGTTTATGTACAGCTCTCTGAAGGAGTACAGCACTTCAGGCAGTTTGGTGTCTGGACCTCAGCCCTTGAAGCACCTTGAGTCTTTTATTTTACAGCCATTCTGTTGTAGATTTGCTGCTGTGCTTAGGATTATTGTCCTGTTGCACTTTGGACCAAATGTTAGCTGTCAAACAGATGTCCTCAAATTTGACTCTAGAATACTTTGCTATGCAGAGGTGTTCATGCTCCTCTGCAAAACAAAACAAGCCTTAATCATCACCCCCTCAATCACCATTTTCAGCTTGCAGTAAAGAGAAATCACAGAGTACCCCTGTGAGAGGGTGCGCCCTCCTAGATCAGTCACATAAAGATAATTGTTTCGTGAATTAGCTGCTTCTCTTTTACCTTCAACACTGTCAGAAGTGATTATGTAATGAATACTCATAATGACATTGCAAATACTTTGCCCTTTGTTTCCTTCTGACATCTTCACTGTAAATCATGACTTTACAGACATTTTGCTCCCTTTATTTTTCAGAAGCCAGAACTGTAAACCCTTTGTGAAGTCTGGCTTTTACTGAGGAACAGCAAAGAAAGTTGTCATGATGAATGATGGATCCCCTGCAGGTTAACATGTCACCATCTTTTCCTTCCTTTCGCCGCCTGTTTGAATCAACTCCAGATTTTTTCTTTGCTTATTTTCTCATGAGGGTCATTGCCTCTCAAATCAGCCTAAGCTTTCTGCTTGGCCATCTCTAATTTGCATACAATTTTTATAGTATAAAATTTGCTTTATATCTTCATATCTGAAATACTTTAAGATATATCTTTTTGGAAAATGGTCAGTTGACCCATTTTCAGGCCTTTTGTTTTGCACATTGAAACTGAGGCAGTGTTTAAACATAAATAACTTAAAGACTAC